CAGCCAGGGCAGCCGTCATTGCTCTCCTGGTGGACAACAGAAGCCTCTTCTCGCTACTTATGAATTTGCCTAAGCTGTAGCAGCAGAATTGCCAGCGCGTTGTTCTATCTCTTCAATGTTATTGATGTGGTTAACTCGTGGAAGAAGTGCAGATGTGTTTGTGTGTATGGGGTGAAGGGTGTGGAAAAAGGGCAGGAGATATTTGGTGCTTCAGGCAAGTAAACAAATATTTGTTGTAGATATAGATTGTTGAAGTGCTTAGTAGTTTTGGTCTAATGAACCAAAGTTCAAATAAACCAGAGACTTAACATCCGTGCTATCCTCTCGAGCCTTTTCTGTTATCCAGTGCCTGACAGAGCTCTGACCAGGTAAATGTTTTTCCTGTGTCCCAATAAATCATGAACGGTTTCTGGGCCCTTGTAAACTAATGGGGGATATAGACAAGGTCTGCCATGATGACTGCCTGTTTTGTGAAGCACTGTAGTGGAGGGACAGAAATACCAAAGTGAATTGGCTTTCATACTGTCACTGTGGTGGGGTTGAAGTAGAAAAATATTTGCAGCAAACCCTTTGGGTGGAAGTTACTTGGAGCCTCGTCCTCAGCTTGAGAGTGTCGTCTGGGACACCTTTGTGTGGCTGCCCAATTCTGATCTGTTATGGTGTCACCTTCTAAGGAACCTTTCCTCTTCTCAGCATCTGCCACAGCCACACCCCTATTACTTCCTTTTCGACTTACTTCCTCTCCTGTCTTCATTCATCCACCCCTCCCCAGGTAAGCTTCATGAGAACAGAAATTATTTCTCGTGATTACTGCTGTGTTAGGAGTAGCAGAATAGTGCCTGCCAAGTAGAAGTTCAATGAATATTTATCAAATTTATGGATGAATTTATTTCTACAACTGTGGTCAAATTGAGGACTCAATTTCTTTAATTAGCAAGTGCTAACTAGGACCTCTAGTGTCTTAAAAATATGTTCTTTTTCGGAATTGTCACTTTCTATGAACATGATATGTAAAATATGTAGATTTGAAAATTTTTTGGATCATAAAAGTGGAAGAATTATATTTCTTGATTCATAATTCTTGTGCAACACCGAAGCAAGGTTTACTTTTTAAAAATTCATTTTGTTATTCTTAATGTTAGTGGTTTTCCTTAAACTCAGTAACTGAAGGAACAGCCAAGACCTGACAAAAAGCAGCTATGTATAACTAACCAGTCCTTCCTTCATGGAACCCTGTGCCATTCTTCTGGCTACCTTCATCCCACTGAATCTGAATCCTGTTTTCTTCAATCTTTGCTTTCTGTTTAATATAATTTTGTAACACCCATATACATTCTTAAAAGTTTTTGTGCATATGGTATGTATATATGTGAAATTTTGATTTTAAAACTGATTTTTAGTGATTTTTGCATATATCATATTGGCATATAAATAATATAAATTTTGATGTATATTTGATATATGTGGTATATATTTGATATATGTGTATATATATGAGATATATACATATTTGTATATTTATTTTCCCTTACTTGAAGTGCTTGGGACCATAAATTTCAGATTTGAAAGTTTTTTGAATTGTGGAATATTTCCGTAGACTTTATAGTTGAGCATACCTAATCTGGAAATCTAAAATGCTCAAAATGTTTCAAATTTCAGAGTAGTTTTGATTTAAAATTTTTGGATCAGAGATGCTCAGCTGGGGTACATATAGTCCATGTTACCAAAGATGCTATAATTCATTCATTTTGGTTACTTTATAACATTTCCTTGTGTGATTGTCCCATGCTTCATTCTCTCATTTTCTTTCAAAGAACTTAATTTTGGAAAACTTGTATCTACCACTATGAGCTTCATGGCCTTCCAACATTGAAATTGAGATAATAGTGGCAATATTAATTAATGTGATGTTTCAGTACTATATAATGAAAAGTGTCTAGACTAGGAACTTTTTAATGAATATTTTACTCTCCTGATGACCAACTTTGATGTTTTCAAGTTAAGTATGAGTAAAAGATCTTTTCAAGGATCAAGGCAGACCAAAGGATTTTAATGTAGCAAAATGTAAAATATTCCTTGTTAGGGTTTTAGATCCCATATTGAAGGCATGATTTAAGAAACCTTCACTGGTTGAGTTTTGGTGTAGTATCAGAGATAAAAATCCTAAAAGCTGTTATTTCATTATTACCTATATGAGATTAAATATTTGATTTTCTTCAATATGCATTAAGCAAACAATATTTTACAGCACAATGAATATGATAGTGGATATGAGAATCTAGCTATCTTTTCTAGGTCAGTTGTTGAAGAGATTTGCAAAAATGTAGAATAAAGCCACCTTACTATATAGTACTTTTTTTGAAAATAGGTATTTTCATAAAATGTTATTTATATTAATATGATGTTTTAAAAAATGCACTAAATATTTTATAACTCACAATTTTATAACATATACAAACAAAAGCTCAGAATGAAAGGGATCCTGAGATAAAAAAATTTGAGAATTCTTGGTTAAGATATATCTAACTGTATTTTCTAATAAAAGATTTAAAATTTGGTTACTTTACTAATTTTTTTGATTTTTAGTTTTCTAAGTTTTAACATTTCAGGCTCTAAACTATGTGTACTGGACTGTGCATATCAATAAAGAACTCCAGACTTTTATGACAAGTTATTAAATTAAAACTAAGCATATAAAGGCTTCTTAGTCCACCATCTTAACTTCTAAGGATCTGTATCTTTCATTTAGTTTCCTTCTTGTCTTTTCTGTAAGGTTGGTTGTTTGATTATCCATTCACCTACCAAATGTGTGTCAAGCAAATACTAACTCCTCCCCCCTTTTTTTTGTATAAAGCTTTCACTGGTGGGACTTACAGGCCTGACTCTGAACTCCAGGCTCCCTAGCTGTCAGATTCTCTGAATTGGCTAGGAAGAAGTAGTCAAATGTTTTGGAAAGTAGGTCACTTATGGTAATAAGCACTTAGTAGACATGTGTTGATGCTCACAACCTGGGTACTTGCATGATGCCCAGTTTTCTGTGGAAGTGACTAGTGGTAAAATAGAAGTATCATTTTCCTTATCTTTATGATTTCTTTTTAGGCTTTAGTCACATATTACAACCCAAGGAATTTCTTGTGAGTTTGGCTTGTACCAGTATTACCTCTAACTTAGTTATAACCAGGGATAAAAAATGAGAAAGGGATTCCATTTTTATTGAATGACTGCTATGTGCCAGGAACCTGCCCCCCTTTAATAGGTTATGGGACAGAAGAAGATAAAAGAAATAAAAGAGGTTAAAAAACAAAACAACAGAAAAACAAAACTAAAAGATGTAGCTGAAGGTCATTGCTGCTTCAGATTTAGCTGTTTATCTCCAAATCACATCTACTTTTCCACCATGCCAAATTGGTTTTGTAAAAATCTGAGTCCCAATAATATTTATTATTTTATACAGTACAATTATTGCCTTTGTTATGTAAACTGCCAGTCCAGAGGCCAGCCAGTCCTGCCCTTTTTGCATCTCCAACTTGTATTTATGCATAAATTACAATTTTTGTTGGACACAGTCATTTTAGTTCACAGTCAAGTAGAGGAAGGTGAAAAAATAGTGAATTTGAAGTCTGACTGCTTTTGTCTTCAAGTCCCATCCTTGAGTTTTATTAGATATGTCATGTTTGAGTTACTGAAGCTCCCTGGACCCTGTTTTCCTAATTTTGAAGCAGAGGCAGTAAGAGAAAGCTTTCTGCATTGTTGCCTGGCTGCCAAAAACATCTAGTGAGATAACAGTATCTGTGTAAAGGTTTTAAAAATGTAAGATTGAACCATGGGAGTTCAGTACTTGGAATTTGAAATTAGAAGTATTGGTTATCTTATCATAGGAAAATTATTGTAAAATATCATTAGTGGTTATTTCCCTTCTCTCTGACTTTCAGGTTTGCCTTTGAGACTGTGCCTGTCTTTATATACATGATCCTAACTTAAGGGCAGGGAAGGGATCCTACCTTTTTCTTTTTTTTATCAGGTCGAGTCATCAAATTGCTGATATTCAGCTTTTTTTTTTTCTTTTTAGTTCCTGAGATGGCATTTTCATGTGCTTAATGCTAACACATTTAAAAGTTATTAGCAACATTACAAATAAATGAAAAAAGTATATATATATTTGTACCAATATGGACACGAATATGGAAAATACCAAAAAAATCAGTAAACTTATATCTTGTTTTGTTTTCAAACATAATTTTACTCTAAATTTTCTTAAGGCAATTTTGATAGCGTGTGTTGATTTCTAGCAGCTTGTGAAACTTTTATATTGAAGAAGCACTAAAGGCCATGAAGCAGCTTCCTTAAATGGGTAGGGCAGATGAGGAGAATTGACTAAAATAGAAAGGGGGGGTTGTGAATGTCAGTCCAGACATTTTAATTATATGTAATATACATATATATATATGTGGACACAAATACACTTATAGTATTTTTATATAACTAGAAGACTTAAGAGGTTGCATTTTTCTCCATTTGAAGCGTTATTTGTTGAGAAGAATCGAAGTTTAAAAATACTAAATTTAGTGTTTATTACATTTTTCAGGGTGTAAGCATGCTGTGATTGATGTATTATTCTCTAAATCTCTTACCTACTTTCTTCAGAAAATGAGGCTTTAAAAAAACATATTTTGGGGGACTGTAAAATAGAGTGGACTCTAAGGATGATTTACATTATAAAAATTATTAGTCTCAATTTTATGGAATTTACTATGCATTTTATATAAAAACAGTAGAATAAGGTTTATAAATTATATATACTGTTTGTCTTTGCCACCCACAAATAAAACTAAAAACGCTCTGGATACTTGATATTTTAATGTTTGTTAAACTTTGAAAGAAGAAATCAGAAGTTAAGAATCAAGGAAATTAAAATTGAAACCTATGACATAAATAAAAAATAACAACTATGATACCTCTTAATTCCTGTTTCTTTCCTTTGAAAATAAATTGTGACTTACCATTAAGTCCACACCAGCAGGCCAGGCATTTTTGTAGAGAAGACTTTGAGAACTTTTTTTTCAGGGCTGGGGATTTAGCTCAGTGGTTCTGCCACCTGCCTCACAAGCGCAAGGACCTGAGTTCAATGCCTGGCACCAAAAAAAAAAAAAAAAAAGAACTTTCTTTCAAGAAGCATTTCACATTAGTTTCAGTTTTTGTGGGGATGTGGCCTTTCATGCTCTTAAACCAAACTTTCTGCTTTTTATTTTCTTTCTGGAGCATTTTAGTTCTTTATTGGACTGCCGTTGCCCTGAGGATTACATCATAACCCAGCTGTATTGGTCCATATCAGATAACCCATTTTTAACTCTTTATCCACAAACACACAACACTGTCCTGTAGTAGACTTATACAACTTTTTTAAAAAATTGGAATTTCATAATGCCTAAGGTATGAGTCCCATCTAAGCCAGTGATGCTTCATTAAGTTAAAGAATATTTGCAGAGAAACGGTAACTAGACTTAGTTTATTCTTTGAACTTGGAAAAATCTAGTCTCACTTATAACTCTGTTATTCCATCCATTAAATAGAAAGATTAGAAGGTTAAGAGCACAAAAAGCCATTTTACATTGGAATTACAAATATTAAAATACTCCATTGGATGGCATTTTCCTACTTACCGATTTTTCCAGTCTCCTATGGTCTCTAGGCAAGATTGGATCAGCAAGTGAGTGTAACATCTGACTGATGTTGAGGGAAATGTACTTTGCTTTCTGCCTGAACTGCTCATGTTGATCAGTGGGAAGTGCTGCATTAGCTCTCAAATCAAAACATTTAAAGTGCTCTCTGAAATGTTGACGACTTGCCAAAGGTTTCAACTTCAAGTAGTGCAGATGTCTGGAACTCTTTCAAGCCTACCTCTGATAAGTGCTTGTATCAATTGCATCTGATTTGGATTTGCTTAGGGTTACAAGTTATAAGGCTTGACCAAAGGTAAACAAGGTGAAAGCAGTATGGAGAGAGAGACAGAGAGACTGAGCAAGTGGGGCTCCAGCCAGCGGGAAGATGAATCTTTCCCATGCCTAGTTCTGACCTTTTCCTGTGAAGCTGTTGTAATAATAGCTTCTGTGTTCTTTTGGGAAGTATTTGCAAGTTGTAATCCACATGGCTTCAATTCCCTCAAACTTGTTGTAAAACAAAAATATTTGGTTGTAAAGCATAACTGCAAATTTCTCACTTTGATAACCAGGGGAGAAAGCAGGAAGGCTACGCCTGTCAGTGCTCACCTGAGTCTTGATCATTGGAGGGCAAGAGAACTGTCAAAAGAGAGAGATAATCAGGGGACCCCAAGACTATCTCTTTGAGATATGGTGGTGTACTTCTTCCTGTAGCCCTTTTCTGTCCTTAGGTGCCATTTGATATTTGACATATTCCCAGCCTTGAATTAATACATTGGGGCCTCTTATTTTTCTTCAGGTTATCACTTTAGTTGAAATCTATTTTTGGAAAACCCTGTTTCTGTCCTGGGTTGTCACATTTCCTTAATCTAAATATTCCTTATTTAACAAATTGTTCCTGGGGTTTATTACTTTTTAAATTGCACTCTGGAGTAACACAATGATAATGCATCTCATTTATGGATGAAGGGCTTGAGTTTGCTAGACTATCCAGAAACTATCCAAGCAGTTGTGAGTAATGCTGTTATGATGTAGGTGTAAAAGCATCTGTTCAAGATCTTGCTCTCCTGTCTTTTGGATATAGTCCCCCCTTTTCTGTGGCCTTGCTCTCTGTGATTTCTGTTACCCAGAGCCAGTCATGGTTTGAAAATATTAAATGAATAATTCCAGAAATAAACGGTTTATAAGTTTCAAATCACATGCCATTCCTAGTAGTGTGAAATCACCTTAAAAATTAAATGTCTTTGTTTAAATGCTGCATTGTTTCTCTGGTGTGAGAAACTGAAAGTGGAAATAAGGACTGAGATGTATAATGGATTTTAGGAAATGGGAAAAAAGTGTTCAAATGGGAAGGGGAACAAGGGAGGAGGGAGGATAGGACAAGAAAAAAAAGTGAAAATAGAAGGAAAAAATGGAAACAAAGCTTTTGTACATAGGGAGGGGCTAAGGGGGCAATGGGATAAAATTTTAAAAATTAAATGTTTTATCTCATCGAGCAAAAAAGTCTCTTGTCACAGATTTAATCTTTTAAAATACATTAATCATATGATTGTTTAATAAATTGGAGGCCTTACAGCCAGTTAACTGAGGGGATGCAGGAGGAAGATGGTGAGTCCCACTTTTTTTAATAAAATTGCTTTTTAGCTATTTCTACTAATGTATGATACATACGAGGATTTAAATATTGACTGTAACTTTTGGCATACAGCAGTTCCTAAGTTGTCATCATTACTTGGTTCTGGCAGGTACAACAATTTCTGGAAAAAACAACCAGTACCAAAGGGATTGTTTTGGCTTGAATGGGTAGCAAGTTTAGTGGCCATTGGCAATGGCAAGTTTTAGCTTGCATACTGAGCACTGGGACAAAATTTTTGTGTCAAAATGCATCAAGTACCAAACTTGATGAAATTTAAAGCAGTCAAGTACCAAGATAGGACTGTATTTCAAAAGAAAGAGACTTTAGATAATGAGAATCTGGTAGACTGTAGAAAGACCCCACAGTATTTAAATGTTACGCAGCCATCAGTAATGGCTCTGCATTTCTTGCTGGAGGAATTTATGTTGCCTTGTGCCTCCAGCGGACACCTGTGTCCTAGTCAGGCCCTTTTGTGCATCCTTTCAGTCTTTCCTCCTGACTTTCAAGCCATCTGCTGGAGCAGGCCCTGACACGATACCTTTGCCAATCTTTGGCTAGAATTTTATCCAGGACAAATAAAGCAAAACAATTACAGCAAACTTGTCCACTTCCATGGAGAGCCAGATTCAGGGTTAGATCAAACTCTTGATTGTTTGCTGCACTGGGTTTATACTACATTGGGCTAAATTTGGGTATATGCCCCAGCTCTGCTTCTTTGGAGCCAGGGGACTTTGGGCTGGGCTGGTTATGTAATCTACTCATTCATAGTTCTACCTATTTGAAATTGTTAGAATATTCACATGAAATAATGTATATTTTCTTTTTTTGGTACCGGGGATTGAACTCGGGACCTGTGCTTGTGAGCCAGGCGGTGGAACCACTGAGCTAAATCCCCAGCCCTTAATGTATATTTTCTTACTGTAGTGCCCAGCTGAAGTAAATGATCCTTTAATGGTAGGGGCTCTCAATAATATGATGAAGCAATTGTGACAGTTTTCTTGAAAGTTTCATTGCTGTTATTTAGACAAAACATGTGGTCCTAAAGTACCCTTCATTACCAGAAATCACTGCCAGTCTCTTGTCCTCCAGGACAACACTAGTGGCATTATTTAACAATGCTTAGATGAATCTTTTTTCTAAGGTCTGGGGATGCTGAATAGTAAAGACAACAAACATCAGTGTAAGAAGGACATAAGCCATATGAGCAGAGCATTTTGTTAGTGATTTGTTAGTTCAGCAGATGGTTTCTTGTCCATTCTAGTTGTTTTTTTTTTTTTTTTGTGGGAAATTACAGTTTTTCTTTTTAAATTGGCCATAGAAGAAAATAATGTTTGAATTTGCTAAATAACCCCAACCCATTTGCCATTTGTCAAATCAAACATCAGTTGTTGAATGCACGTATGAAATATGTGTGGTTTTTCAGGAGTTAGAATGTATTAGAGGCATATAGATGGAAAAGCAAGCAAACAAAATCTGCTTTTGAAACAGAAAATGTCTTTTAAAAGGAAAAAATTGTACACATTTTCTGTCTGTTTTCTCAGAACCATTTGGAATGGTTTCTAAGAGACCTTGCCTGCAAGGCATCTGTATGTAGTTTCTTTCTCTGAAGCGTTTATGCTTCAACTTCAAATGAATCCACACTTTATGACAGTTGGCCTGTTAGAGTTAACTTAAATATTTACAGGATCTTGCCACTGTATATTAATCTTCTAGTTAGTTGAAACATTTGTTGGCCTGCTGTTTTAGAGATCTAAGAAGATTTATGTTTGCATAGATAAAAACATGATCTCCAGAATAGATTTTATTACTTAGAAAACTGGCTCAGTAACATATTAGCTGTGTGTTTCTAGGCATATTACTTAACCTTTCTGTGCCTCAGAAGCCTTATCTTTGGGACAGTCTGTGTAAAAATGAGGATAATAGCTTGTTGTAAGGGTAAGCAATATTGTGAGTGCCTGGCTCCTAGAAAAGCAGAATAAATATTGCCTGTCATGGGTATTATTTCTCACATGGAGAACTCAGAAAAAACCCAACAGCCTTGAAGAACTCATATAGTCTGGGGTGTCTTGCCATTTCTAGAAGATAATAATTGAAGAAAACATGGTTATTAAATGGAGTTTAGTGTTTATGGGCCTGAATTTTATAAGCGTTTTCCTCAGGCCTATGTTAGACTGTCTTCTGTTCAAGTGTCTTCTGGGCCATTTTGCTTAGATGAGATTCACAAAGATTTTTATATTTTAGGTTTCTCATATTTTTCCTCTGCTATAGCATTGGATTGCTCATTAATATGTGTTACTGCTTTCTCTACTTCTTCTGCTTTCTTTTAGGCATTTTATATCTAGACAACATGAGAATCAATTTGTTTAGGCTTGAAGTTCAAGTTTTCTAGCATGAAGCTCTGTTTGCTTTTCCTACTTAGTGAAGATGCAGACACAGTATATGTTCCATTACCATCTGTAGGTGCTTTGGGGCCCTGAGGCCTTTACAGGCAAACTTCTTAGACTCATTTTCATTCAGACACACAAAACTATGAGGTAGATCCGAAAGATCTGAAAGCAAGATAAGAACTAGCTCAGTGGCATAATTACTCCAGATCCTCACACAATTGTAATTTTCAGTATAATTTTTTCAGTTCTTTTCACTTTGATTAATTCTTTTAGTTGGCTTATTGGCAAGAAAAGAATTTTCAGTATGTTCTAATATGGGCACTGTATATAAACCAGCTGGAGAAAATTTTCTGTTTTCTTGAGGGATAGAAGAAGAGAATGATTGGTTCATGAAATGTAGTTTGGGCCTGCTCTTGGTTAAGTCTAGGGCCCCTTGTGCTGCAGAAGAATGAAAATTTTCACTTTTTTGGCTGTTTTTTGAGTGAGTGGTCAATCTTCAAAGCTGTGGTTATATCCTGAGGGACATGGGAGTTTGTTTCTACTTTTGATCTAGCCCCAGAAATGGTTGTCTGCGCCCTTTTTAGAGTTCTTTAGGGACAGATCTATGTCTGTTACAAGGTAGAGAAGGTGGAGAAGAAGCTTTGGAGTTGGGTGTGTCTACCCTTCTGACCCTCTCCAGGCCTCCTTTCTGTCACCTGTGCACCGGTGCTGATAATATCACCTCACTGTCAGGTTACTGTGTGAATTAGATGAAGTAGTGCACATGAATACACATCATTCATGGCACAAAGAATAGATAATTAATATTAGTACCATTTTCTTTGATTTTTCCAAATGAAAGTAATAATTCAATTGTGTTCTGTTCTTTCTGCCCTCTTTGTAGACATTTCTTAGAAACAGACTCTTAACTCTGGACCATCCCCTCTGTGCTGTAGTGGCATTATTGTATCAAGGTTGTGCAAATAGTTTGCATACTATTTGCAAACTAATAGTTTGGATACTCAACACTGCATCAGTGGTTAGGTTTGGGATTCTTTGGGGTAAAAGATGGACAGACAGAGTGGTTGGATAGTAAGGATGGAATGATATTGAAATGTTCTGTTTTTTACTTATGTGCTCAGGGACTCAGCTGCTTTCCTCAATCTTTTTTGATTTTTTTTTTTGAGACAGGGTCTTGCTATATATTCTAGACTGGCCTTGAACTCACTACTTAGCCCAGGATAGCCTTGAACTCTTCCCTCAGCCTCAGGAGTGCTGGGATTACCACCATGGTGATAATGGAAATTAAAACTAAAGCAATAATATGAATCTACAGACAAAAGCTTTAATCGGAAAGTAAGAGAAAAAGGTAAGAGGTTTTAGATTAAGGAGCTGATAAAGATCAAGCCACTTCCTCAGTTAAGGAGACTAAGAGAATATAGGGAAAAAATCTCCAGCTTGAGTAGCTGGAGAGGCACACTCATGAAG